GGTGCGCGTGCTCCCGTGCCTCCCATGTGTGCGGCAACCACTCACTGTAGTGGTAGGACTCCTCGCAGAGTGGCGCCGAGTAGTCCGAGAAGGTGGCGTTCCAGCGCAGCTCCCGTGACTTGGTGTCATACATGGTGATGACATACTCTGGGGATGAGAGCGGGGCTCGAGGTCACTGCCCAGCACCCCGTTCCTGGGACTAGATGGACAAATGGGGAGCAGGACTGGCTTACGGGTACGGCCGATGTAGAGGAGGGGACTTGATGGGCACAGACCATCCCAGGCCTCTGTTGAGAGAGTGGTCTGCTTCTCTCCTGACTTGGGGTCCACGATGAACCAGGTGTCCTGCTTCTTCCCTGAGAATAAAAATATATTTTTTGTAAGTCTCTGCAGTCCTGCTGTCCATCCCCAAGGTTTCCTCCTATCTCTCCTCCATGGACACGTTCCCGGGAGGTCTCCCCTCAGCCTCTCCTCCTCCCTGGCCCCGGGTCCAGCGGAGTGGCTGGTCCCTGCATACCGGTGTAGAGCACGCCGTCCGAACTGCGGCATGGCGAGGACTGGACCAGCTCTGGGATGGTGAACGGGAGCTTCTGCAACACAGACAGCAGTGTGGATGCGGGACCAGAGAAATGCCTCCCTGAGCAGCAGCCTTCCTGCCTTCAGAAGCAGGGTGGGAAGGAGAGGTCCCTGGGACAGTCCCCTTCTCCTCTCCCGCCTTCACTGCTCAACCCCAAAGCAGGACGGAGTGGTGGGGAAGGAAAGGGTCCCAGCTGTATTTGCCCCACACCCACTCGGCTGACATCTTCCAGGTGCCAAGGACAAGCTGGAGCAACCGAAGGCCCCACGCTCGCCCTGTCCAGCAGGTCCCCCCTGTCCCCCAGCCCGGTGAACCCCCAGGGTGCAGGCAGGCGGGATGCATGCAGTCCCACAGCCCCACTGACCATCAAGCCTTCTTTGTTTTTTCCTCCCAGGATATACAGGCTGCCATCGTTGGGGTCTGGAAGGAATGCTGGTCTGGAGAGGAGGAGAAAGGAGGATGAAATGTGAGCTGCCTCCTGCCCTGGGCACACGCCAAGGACTAAAGAGGAGCTGCACTAAAGAAACCCCTTCAGCAGTTTGCTCCAGGCTGATTCACTCTGGGGCTTGACCTTTCCTGGAAACCTCCAGCACTGGATTTGGTAGGGGATGAACTGCCGCTCTGGGTCAGCACCGTAACTCCATACAGCCACCCTGCACCTACCAGCCGTGCTGGCTCGGTGCCCTGCCTGCCCCGGGGGAGCTCTCTGCTGTCCTGCCTTCCTCCTGCACTTTCAGGTGGATTTTTCTCAACTTCTCTTCTATGCTTTTGTGCATGGTGGTGCTGAGAGGTTCTGGGCTGTCTGTAGAAAGGCTACAATTCAGCAGCAGGGAGCAGCTATTCCTCCTCATCACGCACGCAGTGCTAGCACAAAGGGCTATGTCGTGGGCTGGGAGGTTGATTTCTCCGAGGTTCCCCTCTCTTGCTGTGAATCTGTTGGTTCATCAGGGCAGTCGTGGACCTCCGAAAGGCTCCTTCCTGCACAGCCCGCAGGCTGCCTGCCCTGACTCTGCCCGCGGGGGGGGGTGACACTCACTCTGCCACATAAACCGGCACCTGCAGAATAGGATCTGAAAAAGAGAGCGAAACGCAGACGTCAGCGGCCTCTCCCTGCGAGCGGGGACAACGTGGCAGTGTTTACCAAGCGCAGTCAGGCACTTCTATGCCCGGGTCTGCAGCCTATTTGCATTTCAGACCCAGAATAAGCACTGCCAGCAGCGGGGGTCTGGCCCCCCCCAGACGCTCTCCTCCATGCCTGGGGCTGGAGCTGCAGCTGGCAGCGTACCCCAGGGCTGGAGGAACTGCTGGCCCAGACCATGACCAGCAAGAGCCAAGCTGGGGGGTGTATCCCCGACCCCCCGCTAGCAGCAAGCCCAGGGAGCCAAGCTGTGAGCAAGCACCCCCCCGGGTTGCTACTCACCATCCTTCAGGGTCCACTTGATGTCACCTGTGCTCTTACTCACTGCGTGAAGGTTTCCATCCAGAGTGGATATGAAAAGCAGCGTTTCTGGGACAGTCACAGCACCACCTTTGAGGCACTATGGACAGAAACGCTGTTCTCAGAGAGCAGGGCCAGACCTGGGGGCAAGCCCCATGCCCCGGCCATCTCAGGCAGCTCAGCAGCCCCCCTGCACCCAGCACACTGCTGCAGCAGACTGCGGGGAAGAACCTCAAGGTCCCTTCTCATTCCCAGTGAGGCAAGACTGGGAGGGAAAATCATTTCTTGCACCAGTATTTAAAATCTGCTTGTTCGTCCAGCTCCACCCGCAGAGGACACCCGCAGAATCACATCGGCTAATGGCTGTTTGGAGGTGCTGTGTTTTATAAACCCGTGGCATTAAGCCCTGGCACTAAGGTTGCCACGCTCGCAGTGAGCGGCATCACCGGCAGCGTGCGGTTCCAGCGGTCCCTGGCTCCTGCAGCACAGGTCACGTCCCACCCGTGCAGTCCCAGGGCAGGCACAGCCTTTCCCCTCCTGTCCCCTGGAGCCAGCTGTCCTGCCGGCGGGGATGAGCTGCTCTTCCCAGCCACGACTCCCGGGTGCATTTCTAAAGGTGACACAAACAGCCCAACTACCGGCTCCTTCCAGAAACAAACGAGTTGGGTGACTTTTCATGCCAGAAATGCAATTAATGCTCACCTAGACCTTCAAAGCTACAGATTTCAGCTACCCTGATGTTGAGGGAGTAATTGTAAATTCACGCTGAGAAGTGGAGCTGCTGCTTCCGTGTACAGCGTCCGTACAGCAAGCGCCAGCTCAGCCACCGCAGGCTGGTACACACGCCAGCCTCACCCCCACAGCAAACAGGGATCGGCAAACAGCACGGGGACCCAAACGCCTTCAGGCAGAGGCAGGGTCGGTGTGGCCATCCCCGATGCCACGGAGCCAGAGCAGCACTCGGGCTCCCCGCTGGCTGTGATGCAGAAGCCAATCGAGCAAGCTGCTGCCCCGGTCACTCGTGCAGGGTGGCCAAAGGACATCCCTTGGGCCCAGCACGCCGCCCCCCACCTGCTTTCCAGCTGTACCCCCTGCCAGGACCACACACCAGCTCCCTCCCAACACACCTCACTACCACCCCTCTGCTTCGAGCCCAATTCTATTATTTGCCCTTCTTCTTGCTTAATTTTTAAGTGAGGTCAGAGCGAGTTTCCCAGCTCTCGCTTTGTCCAGAGGATGCGGTGGGGCAGGCAGAGAAGAGCGACTGCTCCTCGCCACCATTTCTCCAGCACCACGCAGCCAGGCTGCGAATGGCTGCGAGGGACAGGCCGTGACGACAAGCCAGGCCAGCAGACATGGAGCTCTTGTGGCATGGCCACCTGCACGATGGAAACAGAACCGAGACCGACGAGCCCTCACAGCTGTCAGAGCTATAGTGGGCTCCGTGCTCACGGGCTCTGCTTTTCCCTCCCCCCCAATGTTTTGCAGTTTCTTCCATCTCTTCTGCAACTACTGTTTTTTTGGTGACAGGGCAATCGAACAAAGGCCAGGCTGCCCAGCCTGCTCTCTGCACACCATGGGCAGAACTGGGAGCACTGGGCACCTGGGACCTGCCACCCTCCCCTCCACTCCCAGCTCCAGCTGCCCCAGCAGTCGTTCTGGCCACGGAAGCAGAGCTGCTGTTCCCATGGGATGCCCGCAGGACCCGTGCTTTTCCGAGGCTCCCACCACACCAGCCTGGAGTCTGCAGCGATGCCGCCAGGGCCGGAGTTCTGCCAGGGGCTCGGGGCACACTCGTTCCCCCAGCGATAGAAGGAGACAGCCGGGCACAGACAGAAACACGGCGCCAGCAGCCACCGCTTCCTTTGCTGGAGCAGCGCTACCGACATCTGCCCAAGCCACCCAGGCATGCTACCCTCTCTGCTTGAAATGCCACCGGCAGCAGAAGCTGCCATCCAGCTCCTGAGGGGGATCTCCCTGCCAGCAAGCAGCTCCGCAGGCAGGAAGGGCTCCCAGGGAAAGGGACTCTGCTCTCAGCCCCAGCCAGGCCCAGGGGTGGAGATGATTTTCCATGCAGAGGTGAACAACCTCTGCCCTGGGCGCTACGTGTGGCCCCTCACCTGGCGCGAGC